AAAAAATAAAGTAATGTAAAAAAAATATTTTTTAAAAATAAGCTTTTATTTAACATGTTTAATCAAAGGAATAAAATAAAGTAGTGAAACAAAAGATTTTTTAGCAAGAAAAGTTTGTCAAAACTGCACTAAAATGAATAAAATAAAATAAGTTAAGGTCTCGTTAAAGTTACTAAAAGCCATTTAGTGAAAGGAGTTATTCAAACTCTAATGAAAATTACTAACAATTTGTACTAATTTACTTCGTTTTTAAAAAAGCTTGTCGGCGAATTCAGCGTACATGCATAATTGGTTAGGTATGTATGTATTTATATGTATGTATGCAGATATTTAAATGCCGGCTTGCTATTCGCGCGATTAAAAACGAAGTAAATTAGTACAAATTGTTAGTAATTTTCATTAGAGTTTGAATAACTCCTTTCACTAAATGGCTTTTAGTAACTTTAACGAGACCTTAACTTATTTTATTTTATTCATTTTAGTGTAGTTTTGACAAAATTTTCTTGCTAAAAAATCGTTTGTTTCACTACCTTATTTTATTCCTTTGGTTAAACATGTTAAATAAAAGCTTATTTTTAAAAAAATATTTTTTTTACATTACTTTATTATTATTCTAGTTGTGTTTTAGTTTTACTAGTTTATGTTAACTATGTTTTTAAAAAATTTGATATTGAAAACAAATTTTAAAACTCAAAAAAATGTTTGGTAGGTTTTGGTTGGTTATGGTAGGAAATTTAGGTAGGCAAAAAAATTTGTCTGTGGCAACGCTGATTGGGCATTTTACAAGCCTATTAGGAAGTATACATATCTGTGTTCGTATAGAATAGTAGCTTATGTCGGAAGACTGGCTTTAGTATAATGAACCATTCGCAGCATACGATTGCGAAAGACTCACTGGCGCCGAGTCGTTGAAGAACTCTTGGAAAATAAACGTAAAAGAGGCAGTTGCGATGCTAGCAAGTCAATATTCGTATAAAGTCTCATAAAAAAATTCCTTGTGGTTTAAAGAATATAGGAAATGGTCATTTACTAAAGCCAGCCTCCCGACATAAGCTACTATTTCATACAAACACAAATATATTCGTCTACATCTGAATCTTATCAGTGTTCTATGTAAGAACCAAAAATCAATCCTCTCGCCAATTAGAACTTTTGCTTTAAAAGAAAAATATACATAGTGCATTTACTCTATACAGTATATTTTGCTTAGCTGCCCATCCTTCTTTGCACGAAAAACGTGTGCGCTTAACCGAAAAAAAGCACTTAAGCGAATTTTCTTTACTACTTCAATGAGGAAGGTATCCGAATCCCTATGAAACCAAATAATGGAGGAGCACTTACCACTTAGAAATTACTGCAAGAGAAATTTTTTCCGAATGGTATCTAATTATCTATATAACTACATAAAATAATTGCCGTTTTCGTTGTTCTGCGAGATGAGCAAAATAAATAATAGCTTGTAAAATTAGGGTAAGGGTCTGATTATGCATACTTCGCATAACTTCGCACAACCATTTGTACCAGTGCACTAAAAGTGTAACTTAAGAAACTGTGAAGCAAAATCTAAACTCAACAGATCGCTAAGTTTTTAAAAGTTCTGCTAATTTCTGGGTAATGGAAAACATACAAAATACATACAAAGTACATACGAAATTACAGTTTGAAGTTTATGCGAAGTTGTGCGAAGTTATGCGAAGTATGCATAATCAGACCATAAGGGTAGAGTCAGTGCAGGTAAACGTAATACTTTCTTTGATAATTGATAATACAGTACATTTTGCTGTGCTGCCTTATTTGCTTAAGTGCACATTTAAGATACCTACCCCAAAATGCGCATCTGGGCATTATTTTTAACATTTAAAAGGAAACTGCTCCGATATATGCATTCAATATATCTGCGCATTGGTGATACCTGCCTTAAAAATTGCGCAACTATTATCAAAGAAAGTATTATGTTTACCTGCACTGGCCCTACACTTACCCCAATTTTGTAAACTTTTATCTATTTTGCTCATCTCACAGAACAACGAAAAAGGCTATAATTTTATGTATAATTTCTACGTGGTAAGTGCTCCTCCACTATTTGATTTCATAGCGATTCGGATACCTTCCTCATTGAAGTAGTAAAGAAAATTCGCTTAAGTGCTTTTTTCGGTTAAGCGCACAAATTTTTCGTGCAAAGATGGATGGGCTGCTAAGCATAATATACTGTAGTTGCAAATTTTTAAGGCAGGTATCGCTAATGTGCAGGTATGTTGAATGCAAATATCGGAGCAGTTTCCTTATAAATGTTAAAAATAATGCCGCTGATGCGCATTTTGGGGTAGGTATCTTAAATGTGCACTTAAGCACAAAGGCAGCAAAGCAAAATATACTGTACTTGGTCTGGCATTACTGTTTGAGCATTGATGTGCTTTTGGGAAACCAAAACGCCAAAATAATTGGAATTCTATGCTTGGTGCGGCACTCTAGGGAAACGAACTAGTGTGGTACCGGTTCGGTTCTAGTGCGTTTGGAACCATGACTAGTACGCGTTAATTCTCTTTTGCATGCTAGCGACTGGCGAATTTAACATTGCGATGTCCTAGGAAGTGTCAATTGTCCCCCGTTGCATCCCTTTGGCTCTAGTTCCGAACCAGTTCTAAATTCGACAGATAAGATATAGTTCGTTTTGCATCCCTTTTTCTATAGTTCCGAACCAGTTCAAAATTCGACAGATGAGATCCAGTTCGATCTGCATCCATTTTTTATATGTAGTTATTGTAGGAAGGACAATAGAATCACAAATGTTTAAACGCATTTATTAAAAATTTTTTTTTTGGGATTTTGTTGTAGAATTGACCATATTTTTTAAAAAATTACCGAAAACTAAAATATTTAAAAAATTCGTTGTACCTAAACTTTATTGACTGACTGTATTAAAAAAAGCTGTGCGGGATTGCATAAAAAAAATTAATTTGTCTTTTCTTAAAAAAAAAGGTAGCTCTGGTGGCTTGCATTTTTAAATAAATTTAGTGAGAAAGTGATAATTATTTTGACACTTTTTTTTTAAATGCCTCTTTTTCTGCAACTGCATTGCCTTTCTCAATTGTCCTTCAGGATCTTGGCCTTTGTTTATGGAATCACTAAGTATAATGATTACACAGGCCAACAAAAATGAAAAAAAATGTTGGTGCGACAAATGTTAATGTTTTGATAGACTTTTTTGTGCTGATTAGGAATCCGTAAGTACAAAGGATCCAACACGTACAGGTTTTGAGAAAATCGAGGTCAAAGTGTCAAATACCTTGTGTTAGCGTGCTGAACCGTGTCTCGGCTAAGATCAACGCGTGTAGCAGCGTCGTAATAATTATGCATGGTGGGCCGGTGACGACGGACGGACGTTTTCAAGACATTATTTTCAAGGTCAATCTTAGAAAATTGCACACTCAGGGTTTAAGAGCTGTTTGAAAGCATTTGAGCAGACCGGGGCAGTGGATTCTCAGGAGCGTCAGGTTATTTGTGGAGCTCTAAAATGGCATTTTTCTGTTCAACCCAAATAAAAAATATCAGTTATGAAGATTCCAAACCAAAGGTTAAGTTATTTTTAAATCTATTCATATAACAAGTGACGTAGAAAACTACATCGAAGAAAGTTAACTGGTGTTCATTTTAAGGTCGTATGAGGGTTAAAAAATACAATTAAAATTAGTACACTGAACCTTATTAAAAATTATATTTGCTTTAATTTAATTAAGTTTTTTTTTTAATTACAAGTAATGCGATGCATCGCAAAACATCGATGTGACATCACGATGCATTGCATTGAGAAAAACATCGATGTACTTTTGTACGTGCGCATCACTAGCCTGCATTTGCCCAAATATACGGAATTATATCAAACTGTAACAAATTTGGAAAATAATAAATATTTATTATTAACAATAATGCAGCTTTCTTGCGTTATTTTTAACAATTAGCGATTTTAAATTTTGCTCCGACAGCACAAATTCGTAGAGAATTGTACAAATTCAAATGGATTCGATGATAGCTGTCTGCGAATTTCGAATTTCCTTTCGTAGCTATTCGGATTCAATGATAGCACGTTCGTAGATTTCACGAAAATCGAACTTATGATGGATTCTGTGATTGCCCTGATTATAATGGAAAGTCACGCTTACGCTGGGTACATGACCTAGCGGATTCGCGTCGCGCGATGGGATTGAAATCGCTACTAGCGACCAACCAAACAAATTCATATGGCAGTGTTTATGATGCAGCGATGTATACCGCCATAAAAAATTGTGTAATTGATCGCTGGTAGCGATATCGATCGCATCGAGCTATGCAAATTCGATAACTTATAACCGTAGCCTGCTTATAATGTTTTTCAGGCAAAAATATAATAAAACATTGACAAAGAGTTTCGCTTATTTGAATTGTTTTAAACTTTTTTCATGTTGACTATCGAATAGCATGAGCGGGGAAATTTATTTTTGTATGCAGTAAGTGGTCATAAGCAATAACCGCCTATGTATGTCAAAAATGCTGAATTCGAGAAAAACGTTTTAAACATTTGGATTGTAATGTTAGCTTTACGGAGAAACCAAAATATTTTCGCCTATAACTTTTTTACTAGCCTAGCCGGCGAGATGGGGATGTCACACACGCATGGAATAGTGGTTGAAGAATCATATATATCACATATAACTCCACTGTTTCTTAAGTCGACTTAGGCGGTTACTGCTTGCGACCACAGAAATATCAAGAAAATACCGATCGCAAAAGCAGATAACTAGTCAGGCAATAATAACAAAAAAAAAAACAGTTACATACATATATGGGTGGTGTATTATTTGTATCGTATAATACAGTTTTTAATTTTTCGTTGTTACCACCATTAAATAAGGTAAAGGGGTTACTACAAAATAGGGAAATGACCCATATAATCAAAGTTACATATATATGTATTCTCACCCAAAAACACTTGCATTAATATGGCATTTCCATTAATTTTATAGAAATTCAAGCGCTACACAGCCGCCGACGTTGAAGCTGACATGGACCACGACTTTTCTGAACAGGAGCTTAGTTCGGGTCAGCGCAAGCATACAGCTGCACGTACATTATCCAATCCAACCCTTGCCAAGGAGTTACACGACATGATGCTGTCTGAAGGGGAGAGTGGTGTGGCGAATGCGACGGCGGCAATAAATGGCAACGGAAAAGGCAGTGGCGGTGAGTCCTCCTCCCATTGTCACTCACTTTTAACTCTCGCAACAGCCAATACCAAGAATAGTTGCTATGAATTAACGCGCCCATCGTCCCTTAAACGAACGCCTACTTCGTCCTCCACAGTAACAGTAATTACAAGCGGTTGTGGTGGTGCCAGCGGCACCAGTGGCGTCGGCGACACTCTAAATGTTTCTGCAGTTGATAGTGCGAGCGCCAGCGATCAGCATTGGCCTTCACGTACACTTAGCATTCGGCATCACCATCACATTGGCACGTCTAGCAGCACTTCAGGTATAAGTGGAAACGTTTTGGTTGGTAATGTGACCACATTGCCAAATCTGCAACCGGAAGCCGCTGCATTGACGCGGCACACACGAATCCATCACCATCACACTAAATCTTTTTCGAACCGCGTCACTTCGCTTAAGAAGGAGAATAAAACTACACAAACTTTGAGCATTGTCGTTGGGGGCTTCATCGCCTGCTGGTTGCCGTTTTTCATCTACTATCTTATAACCCCCTTCCTAGAAGAGCATGAAGTTAGCCGCACTCTGGCGAAGGGACTAACCTGGTTGGGGTGGTTCAACAGCGCCATAAATCCGTTCATTTATGCATTCTACAGTGTTGACTTTCGTACGGCTTTCTGGCGGCTGACGTGCAAACGCTTCTTCAGTGGTTCTATGAAACCGCAGTTTCCAACGAACACCATGTCCATTAGACGATAGTTATACGCTTTGCATGCATATTACGCATAGTTTAATAAGCCACATACGTACATATGTAGTTACATGCATATGTATGATAGCATGTTCATGTACAAGTAAACAAATACATATCGCTCATTTACTTCAATAGTGTCATAACTAGACATCGGTATGAAATTGCATGTATTTGTTTAGTATCAAAGAGATCCTGGACCAACACAGAAATTCTAAACGTTGATTTTTAAATTGAACGAAAAAACATCACAGCGCACGGCAGTGCGCGCGAGTGACGAAAGCAGCCACAGTAGCATGCTGAAATGACTCGCTTATATATACACGAGATTTAGAAATTTTTATCCAGACGTCCAATCGACATGTTTGAGATATCGTTGGAAAGGTCAGAGTGCGTCCAGAAAATGTATTCAAGCTTCATAAACGATTAACCGGATTCTTAAAAATTAGGCTAATGTGTTGCAAAACAAAAAAAGGTTTTTGTGCTTGTGCCGGTTTAAGGAGGCATGTGGGTACACCCAACATATTTAGGGCCGGTTGTTCAATGTCTGATTAGCACAAATCGGAGGTAGAAGCTCCGGTTAAGCACAACTACTGCTTTATCGATCACATGTTACATGCATGATGTCAAAATCGTCGATAGTGTAGGGGTAGTGATAACCAGACATTGAACAACCGGCCCTTAGTGTTGTTCAAACGATAGATTGTGTTTTGGTTCGTGTCTCCACTACGAGATGCTTTGGAATGTATGTGGCGTCTGTACGTACCTTCATTTAATTTTTTTCAAACTTTCAGGAATTAAAGTACAATAAAAACTAAGAAGGTCTTGCTCCAGAATGTTTTGATTTGTATGCCTGTGTGGGCGTGGCTGCTGCCTGAAATTCGAAAAAAGGCAATTTTATAAACTACCACTGAGGCCGCACTACTCAATCCATGTAATTGATGTCGATATCAGTAGAGCGATCTTCAAACGAGCTATCTAACGCTATCTTTTGTGTTTATAAAATATAAATATGTCATAACGATATCGCCTGAAAACTAAAAATCGGGCTGCTGAAAATATACATTTCGTTCATTTTCTCAAAAACTGGTCAGTCGATTTTATTCTAAGTTTACGCAAGTCTTGTGCAAAACCTTAGCTTTTATCTGGTATATAGCTTATATCTGGGAAAACTCTTGTTGTGGAGATATTGCTATTCAAATTGAAAAAATGTCGCTCCAAAAAGGGTCAAATGGTTAAAAATTAACATATCCGTCTAATTTGGTTACTTTAAGATATAAAAATAACATACTCAGTTCCCGAAAAAAATCGCCCATTCCCCGATTGCCACTTAAACCGAAATTCCCTGCAAATCGGGGAATTTCCCGCGAGTTGACAAGTTGAAGGATGCAGCTGTGCTAATCACTTCGTACATGTCTTGGAAACCACAACTTATGTGTATTTTAGAGTTTTTTTTCAGTCACATGCCGAAATTTTAACATGTTTCCCTATTTTAATTGCAGGTATGTACATAGTATTTAACTATGCTACATGGGTTTATCACCCGCACTTAACCATCCTGTGAAGACGCGTATAACATTACCTACAGTTGTACATAAATATGTATGTATAAATGCATTTAGTTCACCCAATGTGCCGCTACTACTTACATACATATGTATAAATTGCCACTGAGCAAAACTACTTGAGAAAAAAGCATTAGTTTAATAGCACGAGTGCAACACACACCGTACACGTGATAGAAGTGAAACTTCTCAAAAAAAGCACATGTGTGCGCCCATACCCGGCAGATATCTTAACAAAAATAAACTACGAGACTATCAGACGAATACAGCTGTTTATTGTATCCAAAGTTGGTACCTAGTTGATAAGTTTTTATCATTTCTCATATTTTTTTATTTTTAATATTTTAGAATACATATCATCCTTGATATCATCATATCCTTGATCATCCTTTTCGCTTTATTCCGTATTCGAAAAACTATGTGTTTCAATGGACACATCGATTTGAATACATAATTTAGATTTAGAGAACATTTTTAGCAATTTATTTGAGAAAAATAAAACATTTAGTTTATTGTCAATGTTATTGTGGCTTGTTAACATTTTTATTTTTAATATTTTTTATTGAGCTTTGTACCACGATTGTTTATTAGGAAAAATTGAAAAAGCAACAAAGTCTAAGCGGTAGAAGTTATAGCGCTATTTCGGAGATCACCACATCTCCTCATCAGACTTCTTTTTTCTAGACTTCAGCAGGGATCGAACCTGCGAATTCGATGTTCAAAGTCAGAAGCGTTAACCACTGAGCTATGTACAT